TTTTKSAAAMMMAACAAAGTCAAGCTCGTTCCCAGGACTTCTCTCACAAGTGCAAAACGTGTGTAAGGCTGTTTGTAGTATTTATGAATAGTGAGTACATGAATTACTAGTAATTGATGTTGTTCGCATGTTATAGATTTAGTGATTTGTAATGTATTCAGTTTTTGTTTCCTCTCCCAACAAATCCGGGCTTCCTGTGTCCCCCACGTGTTTCATATCCAAGATGGCGTCYGAAGAAGCATTGAGGTGAATTGAATGCTACAATCGGTCATTTTCAAAGACTACAAGTTTCTATTACTATGAAAAACGATTTGCCTAACAACAAACAACTTTAATATTTGTTTCAATTAAGCCAAAATCCGTATGTAATGTTATTTTCGCAATTTTTCAGACTTGCTCCGTCAAGGCTCGACGACTCAGATGTTGAAGTTGATGAAAMTTTATTGAGTTCTAGCGATAATGTAAGTCATTTTTTCTTCAATGAATCTTCTCCATTATGTTTTTGTGTAATTACTTTAGCATATCTCGCATTTATTGACGAAATATATCATTAAGTTATCAGCTGTTGTAATTTTTTACGGTGAAGAATGGTTGGAACACAAAACATTGTATGTAGGATCACCCACTACTGCTCAATATTGTACTACAATCCAGCAAATCCTGAAGTTAATCCCCTATTTCTACATTTAGGAGAGTGAAGATGAAGAGTCCAAGCACTCAAATATCAAAAAGGTTATTGACACTTTGGACAAAGTCTCAACCAAAAGGTGAAGACAATCATAGCTTAATATTAAATRATATTAGTAATATTGATTTCCTTTAAGTGCACATTTTGTATATAAGTAATCAAATGCACAATTTATTTTTTATTAAAAATCTTTTATGGCTCTCCCTTTGTGTGTCTAACRCAACTTCATTGAAGAAATTGAAGAACCCAATTTTTGTACAGATTGAACTATCAGTAAAAAAATAAATAGTGGAAAAATATGTGATTACCTGGAGAAAACTCCTTTGAGCTATTAATGACATGAATGTCTCAGTTTGAGAATTAATCAGAGAAAATTTTATTTAATTATGGACATGTAAAAACATAATGCATGAGTCAATTAAAACCTCTGGCACACCAGGGACTGAGACATTTAATTCACTATGATTCACTTGAGTAAGAAGTGAATTCCCTGCTAACGTCTGGAGGGGAGATTGTGGGGATTTCAATTGAATCATGCATAACCACACAACCCTTTTTAAAAAAGCTAAAACAAAATTTATACTTCTAAGCTTTAAGATTTGTTTTCAGAAAAACTTTGAATTTTTGTGTGATTGTATAAATAATGCATTTTGTGTAATTATATAGGAGAAAGCACCAAAGATTTGAACCCAGTTTGAACGTATCAGAGTATAACCTCAGCACTAGTGCAGGTAGATATTCAAGCAAACAAGCACTCATTTTTGAAATATTAAACTTAAAGTGCTACTTGCATGAAAATGGCCTTATTTCAAAACTTCAAGCAATACAAATATATGACTCATATATCTATTAAAAAAAATTGCGGGAAAATATTTGTTTTGGAATTGTCCTACATCAGAGAAATTTTGATTCAAAAGATGGAAGAACAAAAGGATGGAGTAAATGACGTCATCTACTCCAACATTTTTTGCCCAAATTATTAAAGATTTGTATCAATATCTTCTTAAAATGTGTTGCTTCATGAATATTAGACCCATATGGATAGTTCTATTTGATTTCCAAGTCTTTTCTAATGTTTCACAATTTTCGTCCAAGTAGCCCTTTAATAGCAGCTGAAAATCTGCAGCAGTTATCTATGTACTTCTTGGTTATTGACTTTCCTTTTGTCCATGTTGTTTTAGAAAATGACAAAGTAGAACTGAATGACCTTATTGGCTCACTGAAAAAAGATGGCGGTTATGGAAATCTTAAGAAAAAGCTGGTGAGTGGAAGAGTGCCGTCYTCTTCTTTGAAGTCTCTCCTTTTGTTGGGCTTCCTGTCCCTCCCATGAAGGATACTAGGAAGAGTAAAAATGGTTTTCATTTATGAGAAATTATTTATGATATCTTAATAGCCGACTTTAGATATTTTGGTTCAGTGACCATGCACAAAAGAATTGCAGACGAGGCTCCGGGGAAATATAGAATAAAACGATATTATACGCTCTTTGATTGGTCATTTTGAAGCGTGCACTTCAAAATAACTCTTTGCAATATTAAAAAAAATAAAATTATCAATGGATAATCTTGATTTATTCTTTATTTCCCCGGAGCCTCGTCTGCAATTCTTTTGTGCATGGTCACTGAACCAAAATATCTAAAGTCGGCTATTATACTTTATCTTTATTATACTTGGAATAATTCGCTTGAAAACAGTGAATGCTGGAAATATTTTGTCTTTTGTTTTCAGGAAAGCATGGAGAAGAATGCTGGAACGTTGGATGTTCCTCTCAATAAACCAGAGGCTGAAAAAGTAAGATGTTGTCGTGTTTATACAATGTATTATAAATTTCTTCAATATGTTTGCCATGATATTATAATAATTCACTACTATTGACATAATAGATCCAAAGAACTGTTGCATTTGATGAAACATCCAAAGAAGTAGGAAAGTGGCAGCCAATTGTGAAGAAGAACAGAGAGGTAAAAGCAATCAATGAATCAACTGTTTGCCTATCAAGAATTTATTTAAGCTGACATGACTTTTTACTTGAATTCACATTCAATTTTTTATACATATAGTTAGTTAATTAGTAAATAATGGATAAATAGCTGAAAAACGTTTGAATTGCATTATAAATACATGAAATGTTTTTATTTTTACAGGCTGAACATTTATCTTTTCCTCTTAATCATCAACAAATTTCAGCTGTTTCCACTAAAACACTCACTGCAAATTTTAAGGTAATTTTAATACAATGAAGTTATTATACTTATATTGTATTACTTCTTATACAGCATTGGTCATACAGCTTTTTGTGAGGACTGACRTCTAATATTAGTCAGAGGCGTGTGTAGTGGTTGGTTTCAGAGTTTMCAGAACACCCTCTTCATTGGCAGACAAACTCTTTCAAATATGGGACTTCATTTGCCAAATCAGTAGGGAAGCACATCTTTACCCACTGCACACACCCCTGTTAGTCTCAATAGAAAACATGGTAAACTGCTGCGAGCTACGTCGGTGTTTCTAAAGAAACAGTTGTGTAAAAGATAAATGTAACACCCATAAAAAGGATTAACATCCGAAACATCAATTGTTTTTCTACTTTTTATGGTGTTGAATTTATCTTTTTACACTACTGTTTCAATAGGAAGTAAAAAAATAAACAGTGTTGGTGTAGCAAAGTTAGCAAGAGATTCTGCAGCTGCATTAACCAGAAAACTTCAACTGATTTCACCAATTACCTAATGATTAAGTAATTATAAAATATGAATGGGAGACCTTTATGAGCATTTTAAAGTKCAAAATTGTAAGCCTATAAAGGTCGGACGCGAATATTTTATATAGCTTATCAAATTCCAACATAAGCTAAAGCAAAACATTAAGATAAAATTATCATTTTTAAGAGAAAATCGAAGTTAAAGTGGTATGCAAATCAGGACAAATCTCTTGCTCATACTAAAGATGCGGTCACGGCAATGATTTTCCATTGTTCTTGTGAATTATTATTAAATTTTATAACTAGGCAGTAAAACATAGTGATTTTCATTAGTCAGTGACTCTAAAAGAGTTTAGAGACTGTAGCTGTGATGAAAGTGCAGGGGTCCTGAAAGCAGCCATAACATGTGGGCTGTACTGACATGTCTRWTGACAGCTTTGCACATGTGTAGATGATGTCATTAGCRTGTCAGGATTCTGCAGTTCTGAGCMACAGAGGACTGACTGACTSACTGAACTCACCAAAACCTGCTCTGACTAAAAGAACTAATTGCTGCTAAAGTGACAGATTTCACGACAAAGTTACTGACCACTGATTATAATTGACAAATGGCTGGTAGAGCAGATGCACTTAAGCCGTGAAGCTTGTACGAAACTAGTATAAAAATACCTTAATTCTTTGGTTCCTTGCAGTTTTAGTAGTTATTAGTACTATTTGTTAAACAGATTATAAAATTTAACCTTGAGCCAAATAACATACAAAAGGTATAAGCCACAAAAAAAACTCGGGGTGCGGCGTATCTACGAGAGCAGCTTATACATGGGTAAATACGGTAGTCACATTTAATTTTATGATAGGGTTACATTTACATTGTAATAGTGATTTTGTTAGAGATAATTAAAGATTATAAAGTCAACTTTCTCGTAAGCGACTACCTGAGAATCAGGAGAGAGTTTTTTACAGAGTTTATATGGGAAAAAATTATAACAGGGAATTTAAAAGGTGGTCCCATACAGGGTATGGTCGCTTACGAGAGTGGTCGTTCAGAGAGGGGCAACTGTATTTACAACTATGTAAAAAGATAAATTTAACACCGTAAAAAAGTATGTGAAATAACTTACTGACGTTTTGGACATTAATCCTTCGTCGGAGTAAAAGACGAAGGATTAACGTCCGACGAAGGATTATGTCCGAAAGGTCAGTAAGTTATTTCACATACTTTTTTTTCGGTGTTAAATTTATCTTTTTACATAACTGTTTCTTTAGAAACACCGACGCAGCTCACACTAGTTTACCGCTAGTTCCCACCATTTGTATGTACAACTATTTTATGTCAATGATAGCCTAGAACACCACTGGAGGAAGAAATTGCTGCTGTGTTGAAGGGCAGTTCTCATATGATGGAAAGAACAAACAAAGAATTGACAGAAGAAGAAGAACAAGCCTTACTCACCATGAGTGTGGAAGAGGTCTGTATATTGAAAGTATATATTTATAGTACTACAGTATATGAAGCTTAAAGGTGGGAACTAGCGGTGTGAGCTGCGTCGGTGTTTCTAAAGAAACAGTTGTGTAAAAAGATAAATTTAACACCCTAAAAAAATGTATGTGAAATAACTTACTTACGTAACGTAACGTCAGTAAGTCAGAAACGTAACATAATGTCAGTAACGTAACATCAGTAAGTTATTTCACATACTTTTTTTACAGTGTTAAATTTATCTTTTTACACAACTGTAGCTCAATAAAGGGCATGGTCAATGGACATCTCTCACATTCATTAAAATTGTTTATTTTTAAAAACAACTACCTCGCAATATAAGCAAAAATGTAATCTTTTAATAAATTATTCCTGTATGCCCTGTGAATGGAGGTACTGTAAGATTCAATCTTAAAATGCATGGATGGATCGAAACAGATTGAGAATGTATTATTTGAAGTCACCTCATTTATTGTCCATACAAGACAACAGCCCTTTTAGGATATAATTAAGTAATCAGCTAAAAAAAAGAATAACTTGTAGATATATTTATTATATTTAGAACGGTAATGCTTTTACAGCTGAGTGTACAGTGTATTTCCTAATATAGTCTGTATTTAGTGTACTGATTGAATATTTCTTTTATTATTATGAAGGCAAAAGAAAGACGAAAAGAGCTCCAGAGATTACGAGCCCTGCAGTCCTACTATGAAGAGAAGTGCCGTAGAGCCAAGAAGATCAAAAGCAAAAAGTAAGACCAAAACAAAACACAACGTGC